TAATCACACCCGTGCTTGACTAGGAGCTCCCTTCAGTAATTTGAACAATATTAGTCTCCACCATTCACACAGGCTTGGGAAAAGAATAGTTAAAAGCATTAAATCTCAATCATCTTCTTCATACAAAGACAATGGACACTAGTAAAGCTTTGATAATTAAATATCTTTGATCTGTCTGTGACATCTGCCTTCTATTTCATAAGCCTTTGGTATGCCAGCAGATAGACTAGGAATTGTATGTATATGTGTATATATGCACATTCATACACACACATATATGCACACACTAAAGCTCCTTTGTCTTTCAGTGTCTTACAGGAAAGAAAAAGCACCTGATTACTATGTCTATCACACTGCTTATCTGGTCCTGAATTCAAAATTAACAACTTTATTGCTGTCACTGGTCATTGAGCCACCAAATCTGCATACACACAGCCTGGCACTCTTTCCCGCTAAGTGCAAAGGAGGAGTCAGTAACTACTAAGCAGAACTAGCTGTTCTCAACGGTCCTGTGGGCCCATTTAACCCTCTGGACCAGAACTCCTACAGCACTCTTGGATTACTTTGCTGTTACTGTGTGACAAGTGTACTGAGTAACCACAGAGTAAAGATTGTAAGACAGCTGTTGAGTGGACTGAAAAACTGTCTTGATCTACATGTAAACAAGGGGATTTCTGCTTGGGTCATATCTCACTCCCATTTTTTTCTGTTGGGTTTAATCTATAGGAGTCAGTGGAAACAGGAAATTTTCAGCAAAGCCATTTGAAGTCTCTCACAAAGGGACAGGGAAAAGGAGAAGCATTAAGTTTCTTTCTCCTGACTTAAGGTCTAAAGGTGCCCTAACTGAAGTAAATAACTATTCCACTTATTTCAGGAGCAGAAACATTCTTGTGCATTTAAATCACAAAAAACCTGAAGTGCCTCAGTTATCAAGTATATTCCCACCGTGTAGACCATTCTAGTAGCATAACAGACTCTATCAGGTGGATAGAAGTGTAATTTATTCTGTTTGCATGCACAAATGACTCCTCATCATCAGAGATATGTAATATTTAATGGAGAAAGAAACCCAAGGTATCCAAAAAAGCAGTTGCCTCTTTGGATACTTGAGAGCAGGGAGAGAATAAAAAGGATGACAAAGCAAACTCCTTAGCCAAGATTTTAGTAAATATTGCGTAAATTAATTAGAAATTCCAAGCACTTGTACAAGAAAAAAGTTGTTCCCCCTTGATTAAACATACATTACTGCTGGAGGTGTCTGAGGGGTCTTTCTGTCATAGCACTTGAATCCAGTGTTTGATCTTCCTGCCTGAATTTAAACTCACATGCTGACAATTCCTTGCCTTTTCAATTTATGTGTGTCTCTTGTTCTCCTTTTTAAAGGAAAGGTCAGTGCTTTTCACTTAAGTAATGTCATTAAGAAATCAAACCTCATTTTTTCAGCTTGTGTAGCTGAGCAACTGAAAGGCACAACCTCCATTTACCTCACTCCCACATTTTGAATACAAGGAAAAAAATATGAATGCAGATAATCACAGGCAATGAAGAGTAATTTCTAGTAGTCTGCCTCCAGGATTGTTCCCTATAGCATATTTTCCAACTTTTTTTCTGATCATTTTAAATTACTCATTTAATAAGCTAGCTGTTCCTTCTTTTCCTAGGGGAGACTGTTTTGCAGTGCAAGATGTTCGTGTTATGAGGGTCTCTCTCTTTAACTTATCCCATTATTCTTAGTTATGTATTCTAATATCAATCTACCTGACTACCTTTTCACCATCCTGCAGCCTGTTTCTTCGTGTTTCTGTCAATACAATAAACTGATTTTGCACCAAACAAAGAACTATAATTGTTATTAGTTTCCCCACTTCTCTACCTATTCCATCCAGTAGGTTTTATTTAATGTCATGTACAGTACCAGTTTATCTCATGATAAAAATGTGGCTGTTTTTTTTAAATATATGAAGAAAATATTGTTTGCAAAATTAATGTCAGTTTAATATATTGTGCTGCTTTCTGGTTAGCAGGTGACTCCTTCTCTTTAAAAAGCAAGACAGCTTTTCCTCAGTCATGAAATTAGGAAATTTTGCACCAATAAGTAATATTCAAATTGAGCAATGATTTTGAAAGAGGGAAGGCTGCTTCAGTTAAGCTGTATAGCTTTTTCTTCGGCTCAGATTTGTAGTCAGAAGCCAAGTCTGAACAGAAATGTTTTTAGTTTTGTTGCAATGACCTTTTGGAGCATAGATCCCTTGGAGAATTTGAAATGGAGTAAGACTTTAGAATACGGTTTGGGGTTAATTGTTGTCAGGTACACTTTTACCCTGTGGTTAATTCAAGGTCCCCAAATCCTGTAATAATGTTCCCTTTATGATCATGCTGATGTTCTCTTTCATGAGCAAAGACAGATTTGGATCTAGGGTATAAACTACATTGAGCCATGCCATATTCCAGCTGCTTCACACATTCTTAACTCATGTTTGATGTGAGTTTACAGGATGCTGAGGGCATTTTTTAGAAATGACCAGTCATGCCAGTTGATAGCATGACCATATCTGAGTGAAAAATTGTCTCCTCCTGGGAAATACCTTGGGATGTTTCTGTTTAGTTCAGCAAATAACATCAAAATGTACAGGAGCTGAATTTCTGTTCACTTCAGTAATGTGATATTCTACTGCTGACAGCCTCCCTGGATGGCTTATAGTCAACTTTCCAATCCAATAAACCTACGATATGGGCATAAAAATGAAGCAGAGTCAGATAATCATAAATGAGGGAGCTCTGCCAAGGAGACTGACAAAGCACTGTGCAGGACCTAAAAATATAAAACAGACTGGCAAAAGAGAAATTAAATAGACCTGAGATGTAGGAATTTTCCCAGTCAATACCTCTATCACATTTTCACTCCCTGAAAGCACTACTTGCCTTTCTTTTTGGTTCCTCAAGGCCTAGAAAGATCTACTGGAATATGAGGGAGATCTCTTGTGTGAAAGTTAATGGTGTTAATCCCATCACCTGATTCACCTGAAATTGCACCCATTGCTCGAATCATTCAAGGGCAGATTTGCAGGACAGAATTTTGTCGTCATACAAGAGGTGACAAATTTTAATGATATCCAGCAAAATATTTCCCCTCTTCTCCCATTCCTTGTGAATGCTGGCCCCACCTATGCTTCCTTGTGCTGTCTTCTGTAATTCCTTTTTGACTAAAGTCCTGGAAAGGCTGACTGGTGCCCAAGATTTCCACAAGTCTCTGCCTGAACAAAAAGTGCTTCTAGCACAGGTACCTCCACCCAGACCAGCAAGCACAAAGCCCACAGGCATGTGCAGAGAAAGGTTACTCATTCTCATCAGAGAATGGGAATAATAAGAAAAAACTTAAGAAAAAACAAGAACAATTAGTTCTCATATTTTCTTCTTAGTACAAGTTCTGCATTTGAGATCTCCTGAGATACCACTACGGTGTGCTGAGGATAAATATCATGCAGATAAACTATGGCAATGGAATGATTTTTTTTTTTGCAATTGAATTATTTGCCTGGGCTGAAAAGAAATATGAAACCTTCTGACAAAAACTGATTAAATCCATGAAGACTTGATAAACCAGCACTGAAAAGGCTATTGTTTGACAAAGTAGCACTCTGAAAGCAGGCAAGTATGGCACAAACACAAAACAAACTCACCTCTTCTTGAAACCAGAAATGCCATGTTTCTGTAAGGTATGTCACCCAGTCTGATTTCAGCAACTATAATCTCACACACAAATTCACAAGTATGGTGAGACACATACCCATACCTCTTCCCCCTACACGCACAGTCAGACATCATATTTATTTACTGTGCATGCCACATTCACCTGAGAATTAGGACTGCAGCAAAACTAAACACAGTAACAAGCTTTGCTGTTGCTGTTATGAGGTAAAAAGTTGTTATGAGGAGTCTCTGCATGAAAACAAGCTACTCTAGGATCCGAGTTTCTTCCCAAACTGTGGTGGTAAGATATCCTTTCAGGTGCCTACAGAGTTGAACACTGAGTGTATAATGACTACATTATATAAACAGAAGTTTCCATCAGGTTTAGAGATTAGCCTTTATCACCCATAGCTCGCTCCATCCAGTCTAGACTCCCTGTAAAATGCCACCTGAGGAGAGCACCATGCAACAACCAAAATGCACCTCTTCGTGAAGAGAAATAGCAAATTAGAACAGTAAAACGCTTCACTTAATGCTGAGCTTGCATTTTTCATCTTTCTCAGTAATCTTTCCAACTCCACTTGGGAGTTAAACAAAAGTAAAGGAAACCCTTGCTTTCCTCTGCAGTCTCTGCTGCAAACCTATCTTATCTCCTACAAAGAGACAACAAAGACAGATTCAATTTTGTCTTAGTGTGAAGCCTATTGCCTCTAAGTCAAATTCATCAGAAAGGCTTCGAGTGAAAGCATAAATTGATGTCAAACTTAGTGGTTCTTTAAAGCCTTAGAGTCTTTAAATTTGGAAGGTTCAGAGATCAGCCATAAGGAAGAGCAGGGAAGCAGCTCGTGTTCCCCAGCCAACATAGCACTTCTGTGTGCCCCGTTCCCACCTTGCATAGTGCAAACAGGAACAGCTCCAGGAGACTCAGTGGATGGACTCTGTCAGCATAAAATGCTCTCATAGAGTCTAATATGCCATCATTTTTACGATCCTCATTACAGATAAGAAACCCTGGCAAATAGGAGGAGCAGAGGCCTGAAGTAATGAAGGACACATGGCCATCAAAATACTTCAACCTCACAACTCCTACAGATACCTCAAGTCTTTGGTGGATCATAAGACCCCTTGTACATTGGCATACACTGTCAGCAAGTGATGTAGTTAACACATTTCATGTGCAGAGGTGTTAATTTTGTTCATGTTTTTTTGTTGTTCTATTCACATTTAGTCAAATAAGAGTCATAATACGTTACTAATGTTCAGTTCTCCTAGATTTTGATAAATATTTTTCTTTTGCAAATAGCTGACATCTGCAGTGAACTGAGTGGTGTATAAAAGCTGTATGAAGATCTGCCTGCTCTGAAGAACTTGCACTCCAAGGACTTGAGAAGTAAAAAGAGGAAAGGGATAACAGCAAGTAAACAACAAACTACTGGGGCCTAAAACTTGCAACTAACCAGGCACTGATAACACAAACTGTTAGAAACACAATAGACTTGCTGAGACTGGAAGGTGACATATTTTGTACTGATACAAGGACACAGTGTTCCACACCAATTTCAATTCACCTCTCTTTGGCACAGGATATCATCAAGGTTGAGAGCTTCGCAGGAATCAAAGAGATGCAAGATTGTATATAAGTATCAAGAATAGGCAGAATTATAGTAGCAAACCCTAAAGAAAAAGAAAAGAAAGAAAAAAAAAAAGAGAAAAGAAAGAAAAGGAAGACCTGCAAAGCCTCCTACCTCCAGGCGTAAATGAATTTTCCACCCATGGAAACTGAGAGAAAATTTCTCAAAGGTTAATTTTCAAATTGCCACTAGCTGTGAAACTTCTTGTCTCCTCTTTTGAAGCAGCTGGTGCTGTCTGCTGCCAGCTGCAGAAGACTGGCCTTCATCAACCTTGGGTCTGACCTGCTCTGGCAATTCTCCTTGTTGTATATATTGCAAGTGGAAAAAAAAAATCTGCTGTCACACAAGAAACCACAGACAAATATGTTTTAAAAGACAAGGTTATCCTTTTCTCCTTCCTCAGTGAAGGCTTGGAAATAGAGCTGCTTATATCTGGGATTTTCAAACATCCCAAATGTTTAGGAAGTAATGTATGACCCCGAGAAGTGTGATAAAAACAAATTCTATTCATCTTGTACATAACAGCACAACAAGGGAATATTTAATAAAAAAATATGAGTGCAATGAACAGAATTTGAAATTGCCTTAAAATCTCATCTCCACTTCGACGATTAATCAATTTCAGCAGCCGCTTATTGCTTAATGCACAGCACATCAACAGAGATTATTGCTGAAACAACAATTCCTCTTAGTCAATCCTAGCAGGGGCTGAAATTTTCCAGAGCAAAACAAATTATTCACACTGACGGGCCAATGATTGTCTGTAGAGAAGGACAGGTAACAGAGTCTTTTCCAAAGACAAACACCACACACATTTTGGACCGCTAAACGCGTCAAATACGTTATCTTCTTTCAACTTTGTAAAACACCAATGCACCAGTTCCTAAATGCACTGTGACTTGCTAATTCTCCTGAAACAGAGGATAATTATATTAACAAGTGATAGAACAGATATTATTTTCCTAGCTATGAGAAATGTGGCTCTAAGGCTCATAAATACACTTCTGAAATCTCTAGCTGAAATCCTTGCCTCATTACCCACAGCTACTTTCTGTACAGGACTCTTTTATTCTGCATATGCGTTTTAAACACCAGATCTGCATCATTTGGTGGAAACTGGGATAGTTCCTCTGATTTCAATAGAGCTATGCCAACCTGTATTGCCTATAGATCCAGACAGGAAAGTAAAAAGAGAGATGAGACATAACTGCTGTTTTAAGCATTCAGAAGAAAGTTTAAACACTTAATGTTAGGAAAAGAAAAAAGCCAGAGGGAAGGATCCAGATACAAAGCTGATTTTTCTCTCTCAGGCCTTTTTTTATACAGTGGCAAGCAGGCAGCCCCAGACCTTTATTACCCGTCTGCCTCAACCTTTCCTAGATGGAGCATTTTGCAGGAGGATGCCAGGGTCCTGTGGATGTGAAGGTCTGTCTCATGTACCCAGTCCAGGAATAAAGTGGATGACTCAGAGTGCAGATGGAGACTTTGAGCAAATCAGAAGAAACTTCACTACAGAAAATGTCGGCAAAAATTTTGGTCCATACCACAGAAATTAGGCTCTTGACAAATGTATGTTAAGAAAAACTTACTGCCATTTATTTTCATCAGTGTCTTTTTTCTACCTTCTGTACTAAACATTGATTATTCTCTGCAACTTTCACATCTGCTTCTGGCATCTCCTGTGCTACCTACGTGGTAACAGAAATCTTGCCATGATAGCCCTTGAAGGGTTTATTAATTCTGGAGCTGTTCACTAACAGAAGCACTTTTAAGTACCATAAAAGTTGCCCATGCTCTTTAGAGACAGTGCAACGGCAATCCCTTATTGTATATATATATATATATATAGTATATGTAAAGAAAACATTTTTCATTTAAGAAAAGCAGTAAATACCATCTCTCTCTTTGTTATGTGAAACAGATCCTTGAAGAGACTGGTTTTGATGAGTGTCCCCAGCTGTGGGTTTGTAGCGTATGAAAAATGGGGGAGAGCACAGATGTGTAAATGCAGTTAGTGCAGCCTCCTGAGAGGTATGAGGAATTCAGTCTCCTTGATGGGGTTTGCTCCTTCTGAGGATACACTCTAAAACACAGACTTCTCTGTAGTATAATTACTATTTTTATCTGCAATAATTATTACCAAAAAGAATGAGTTTCAAAGAATGCTATGCAGAGAAAAGTCTACAGCTTCTTCATTATGGGTCATTAGTTTGTGTAAGGTCCACGGTGAGTGTTGCCCCCGTGGTCAGTGCTTATAACAGAGCCCACATAACGCAATATAACCATAGTAAAAAGGAAACCCAAATATTTTCATGTGACTGGTATGAAAATTGCCCCCTCCCACAGGATGCCCTTACAGATGGCTTTGCAAGGCCCTGTTTCGGCCCTAACTCTGATTAAAGCAGGTGCTCATCTTTGTGCCAAGAAGAGTGTCTATTGTCTGCCTTATAATACCAAAAAGGTTATTCAGGTCTGAAAACAATGGTGAACAATGGCTCTTGAGAGGGCCAAGCAGCTGCAAAAGAGGAGGTTATCATATGCCAAAGCACATCAAATCTACCATAGTTCCGTAATGGATCCCAGGACTCAGTTCAGAGGACTGTAGTGCCATAGGGGACAAATCTCCTAGTCACTACAACCAACTGACTGTACAGTATCATTCACATCATGCAGTATATATCCTACACACAAACACATGCTCAGCATGCATTTATAAAATCCCAAACACTGTTTCTGGGAAATATTCACATCTCCTCCACTCCACTCCTGTCGTTTAAAAACCTTCAACAACAGTTAAAGCAAAGATCCTGGGAACTGACTTGCTGAAGAAGACCACACAAAACTGAAGAATGACCAACACAGAGCCCACGTGCTCCCAAATCAGGCAGCCTTGTCTTGAGTCAAGGTCAAGATAAGACTCTGCAAATGCAGTGCTCACCTTGGGAAGTAATGGGAAACACAGGTGTCCCTCCAAACTCAAGCATCTCTGCCAAAGGCTCTGGATTTTCAAGGAAATACGACCCAATGCCACCAAACAACATCAGTCATGACTGCAAGCAGAGCCAGGGGTGACACCTGCACTTCTAAGCCTCCCTGCAACTTGTCCAGAGAGTGATGTATTCCATGGAGCACCTGTCTGACTCACTTTTCCCAGCACAACAGTGACTGATATTCCTTGGTTACTTTTTCCTGACACATTTTATGTTGAATAACATTAGGTACACCTGTGGTTCATCATACTCAGTGCTGTAGCTGTTCCTGATACTCTTGCTTTGAAGTAAAATAGTAGGAAACCAGCGGGAACATTTTGTCCCAAGAGGATGAGGGTTACTTTGCCTTTTCTTTTATTCAAATCCTTTCCTGCAGCTCAGAGGAGCTTTACAAATGAAAAAGAATAAAAAACAGGTACTAAATTCTATTGAAAGCATGGGTAACATTACCTAACAGCAGTCCTGCATTAAGCTGTTCTTTTCAAAGACAGGGGATTGTACTGGGCCTAAGTGGGAGACGGGATTAATTTTCTTCATAGCAGCAGGTTTAGATTTGTGACCAAAACAATGCCAATAACAGACAAATGTTTTACCCATTGCTGAACATTGCTGTTTCTCACTCTGCTCCCCATCCTTGGTGGGGGCAGCACAGGGCTGGGCAGGGACATAATGAGGCAGATGACCCAAACTAGCCAAAGAGATATTCCGTGGCATATATGTGTCATGCTCAGCAACTGAAAAAAAAAAAAAGAGAGACTGAAGGAGATTTAGGGAGGTTACACATCTTTTGCTCTTTTGCTCAGGAATTAGCTGTGCATCGTGCTACCCGTGGGAGGTGGTGAGTGATGGCCTCTGCATAGCTTGTTTTGTTTTGCTTGCTTGCTTCTTCCATTTCTCCCATGCTTTTTAAGTTGGTGGGGTTTGTGGTTTTTTTTTTTTAATTTTTTTTAATCTTGAGCTACAAGTTTTATCTTCCTTTTCTCTCCCCTCCTTCCCACTGGGACTTGGATTTGAAGGCAGGGAGGGAGGGAGCAGCTATGTGGTGCTTAGTTGCCTGTTGGGGTTAATTCACAAAAAGGCTTGTAACTAAAAACTTTTCTCTTCATAGCTTACAGCCTTCTGTCATTGGTAATGCCTGTGACCAGTGGACCACGCCGTCACTGGCCCTCGGCAGCTGTGCAAGTGAATGTGGAAGGGCTACAGCAGTGACCTCCTTCTCTCCAGGTGGGTACCATGCCACAGCCAATACTTTCCCTAATTGCTACTGCAAGGTAGAGGGGGAGGCTAACTGCTGGGCTCAGCCCTTCTCCTGCATACAGCTGAAGAAAGCACAAGGCCTGTGGTTTCAAGCTCAGAGCAGCTGAGGATTCATGCCCAGATTTGAGGAAGGCTGAGATGAATGCTACACTCAGTCAGCGAGTTTTCTCATTATGTCACCAGAGTACTATTATGCAGTATTTTCACTCAAAATCCAGCTCCCAGCATCCTGTGACTAAATGAGAAATATTTTCTTCTTGTTAAGAAAAGAAAGTTTCTAGAACTTAGGGTCAGGTAGAAAAGGCAGAAAATACAAGGCTCACAAAATATCAACCAAGATCAGCATCTCATTTCTGTGTGATGACATTCTAACATTATTGATGTCAGAAAATAAAGTACCTGGGAACAGTCTCATACAAATTAGGGCATAAAAAAGATGGTGGGCTCAAAAGCCCAACTGGAGTGCATCTACACCAATGCCTGCAGCATGGTCAACAAACAAGAAGAGCTGGAAGCAGTTGTGTAGCAGGAAAACCATGACATAACTGCCAACACAGGAACTCATCCCAATGCACTGTTGGGATAACTCACACAACTGGAGTGCTTCAGTGGATGTGTATAAACTCTTTAGAATGGACAGGTGAGGAAGGAGAGCCGATGGTGTAGCCCTGTATGTTAGGGAGTGTTTTGCCTGTCTAGAGCTTGATGATGGGGATGATCACAAAGCAGATATCACAGGGGGATTCTGCCACCTAACCACGATGAAGAGACAGATGAAATATTTTATTAGAAGTTGGAAGAAGTGTT